CCTGAGAAAGAACCTCAATAAACACCTAAGAGTTTTACTGTTAGCCCCTTTCCAGCCTTCTACAGAGGGACCTAAAGCCTTTTACAAGGATAACTGTACACTTGTGGCAAGGAAACAATCAGACTTTCTGGGATCAAAGTCATGTGCCACCATGCCCGGCTAAGATTAGTGGAATTTTGGCTGAATTCTGACTCAGAGTAGGTCCAGTGGTCCTCAAACTCATCCTGTGCTTATTTCCTCCATCCCAGAATGAAAAATTGGGAAAAATACACTTAGAAATTAACAAAATTTTCACATTGGTCCCCTGACCTGTGAAGTGGGGGGCTATTATGGTTGAAAAGGTTTAATGGAAGCCTCTGGAATTGCCTCTCTGCCTTGGAAACTAGTGAATCAAAAACAGCATCACACCCCTGAAGGAACTGCAGAGATCAGTGCTACCATCAAAGACTTGAAAGATGCAGGGATGGTGATTCCCACCACATCTTTGCTTTAACTCTCTCTGTCCAGTGCAGAAGACAGATGGATCGTGAAGAATGACCATTGACTATTGGAAACTCCATCAAATAGCAATTCCAATTACAGTTGCTGCACCAGATGTGGTGTCCTTACTTGAGCAGATTAACACATCTCCTGGTACCCTCTTTATGTAGCTATTGATCTACCAAATGTCTTTTTCTCATTACCTGTCTTTAAGGACTACCAGAAACAATTTGCTTTCAGTTGGTGAGGCCAGCAATACACCTTCACACTTTTACTTCAAGGATACCTTAACTCTTCAACCCTGTGTCATAAATTAGTAGTGGGATCTTGATCATCTGTCTCTTCCATGAAATATCACATCAGTGCACTATATTGACAACATTATACTGATTGAACCAAGTGAGAAGGAGGTAGCAACCATTTTGAACTCATTGTTAGCATATATATGCATCACAGGATGGGAAATAAATACAACCAAAATTCAAGGACCTTCTACCTCAGTGAAATCCTTATGAGTCAAGTGGTGTAGGGCATGCAGAGAAATTCCATCTAAGATAAAAGATAAGTTATTGCACCTGGCCCCTCTCATGACCAAGTAAGAAGCACAATGTTTAGTGGGTCACAGAAAAGACCTTTGGGATTTTGGAGCAAACTAAACCCATCATGAGCTGGGTATTATCTAACTCACCAAGCCAACAAGTAGAACATGCAATGCAATCTATTATCCAATGGAAGTGGTATATATGTGATCAGGCCAGAGTAGGTCCTGAAGGCACAAGCAAGTTACACAAAGAGAAGTTGCCTAAATGCCAATGGTTTCTACTCCTATTACAATGCTGTCTTCACCCAAAAATGCCTCTGTAGCCTCATGGAGTGTGCCCTGTGGTTGGTTGACTGAGGAAGAGAAGACTAGGGCCTGATTTACTGATGGTTCTTCATTTTATGCAGGCACCACCCAGAAGTGGACAGATGAAACATTACAACCTCTTTCTGGGACAACTGATGTCCTTCTGTATTCTGTGAATATATGTTTCTATTATTGGTTGATGAATAAATGCTGATTGTCCAATAGCCAGGCAGGAAGTATAGGTATAGGTGGGGCTACCAGACAAGGAGAATTCTGGGAAGAGCAAAGGCTAGGAAGCAGTCACCAGAGAGAGAGGGGGGGGGGAAGAGAGATGCCATGTAGCCACAGAAGGAGTAATATGCTGGAACATTACCAGAGAGAGAGAGAGAGAGAGAGAGAGAGAGAGAGAGAGAGAGAGATGCCATGTAGCCACTGAAGGAGTAATATGCTGGAGCAATACTGGTAAGCCACAGCTTTGTGATAATAAATAGATTAATAGAAATGGGTTAATAATTAAGAGAAACTTAGCCAATAAGAAGTTTATGATTAATAGACGCCTCTGTATGTTTATTTGAGACTGAATGGCTGTGGAACCAGGCAGAACAGAAACTTCCGTCTACAGACAACCCTGAAAGACACTGGTGAAGGGAAATCTTCACAGTGGGCAGAACTTTGGGCAATACACATGGGCATACGGTTTGGAAGGAAAACTGGTCAGATGTGTAATTGTTCACTGATTAATGGATGAACATTAATCTCCAGTCAATGGATTGGCTGGTTCATCAGTGACTTGGAAAAAGTAAGATTGGAAAATTGGTGAGAGACATCTGAGGAAGAAGTATGGGGATAGATCTCTCCAAATAGGCAAAGGATGTGAAGATACTTATGTTCCATCATCAAAAGGTGACTTTAGCACAGGAGGAGTTCAGTAATCAAGTAGATAAGGTGAGCTATTCTGTATACAGTCAGCCTCTTTCATACATTCCTGTCATTGCCCAGTGGGCCCATGAACAAAGGGGCCATAATGGCAGAGATGGGGGTTAGGTGTGGGCTCAATAACATGGACTTCCACTCACCAAAGCTGACCTGGCTATAGCTACTGCTGAGTGCCAGATCTAACAATAGCAAAGACCAACACTGAGGCCCAGATATGGCACCATTCCCCAGGGTGACCCGACAGAGACCTGGTGGCAGGTTGACTACACTGGACCCCTTTCTCAGTGGAAAGAACAATGCTGTCCTTACTGGAATAGGTACTTATTGTGGTTATGGATTTGCCTTTCCTGAGTGTAATGCTTCTGCCAAAATTACCATCTGTGGACTTAAAGAATGCCTTATCTACTGTCTTGGTATTCCACACAGTATTTCTTCTAACCAAGGAACAGATTTCACAGCCAGAGAAGCAGGGCAGTGGGCCAATGATCATAGGATCCACTGGTCTTACTATGTTCCCTACTATTCTGAAGCAGCTGGCCTAAAAGAAAGATGGAATGGCTCTTTGAAGACACAGTTACAGTGCCAATTAGGTGGCAGCATCCCGGAGGGCTGGGGCAGGGTCCTCCAGAAGATGGTATATGCTTTGGACCAGTGTCTAATACATGATATGGTGTCTCTCATATCCAGGATCCATAGACCCAGGAATCAAGCTGTAGAAAAGGGAATAGTTCCACTCACTAGTAAGGAAAGTGATTCGTGTTACCACAACCTTAAATTCTGTTGGCCTAGAAATTTTGGTTCCAGAGGAGGGAGCCCTTCCACCAATAGGCACAAGAAACATCCCATTGAACTGGAAGTTCAGACTCCCCCGGCTGTGTTGGGCTTCTGTTGCCCTTAAACCAATAGGCTAAGAAAGGAGTAACATTATTAGGAGGGGTGATGATTCAAATTACCAAGTGCAAATTGTATTGCTTCTCTACAGTGGTGGTAAGAAGATTATGTCTGGAGTGCAGGAGATCCTTTAGGGTGTCCTATGATTAAAGCCAATGGGAAACTGACAACAACCAATCCAGGCAGGATGACAATGGGCACAGGCCATCAGGAATGAAGGTGTGGGTCACTCTTCTGGGAAAAGAACCAAGGCCTGTGGTACTTGCTGACGGTAGAGGAGGTACAGCATGGGTAGTAGAGGAAAGTAGTTATAAAACCAACTAAGGCCACATGACAATTTCCAGAAATAATGTTGTGGTTGATCTGAATGTTTCTGTCATATTTTGTTAAGAATGTGTTCATATAGATACTTATGTTTTTGTTCCTTGATATCTTTATTATGTAATGCAACAGCAATTAAGAAAACATCAGTGGTTGTCATATTTAAGTTTTGAGATACCAAAAGAATGTCCCTCAAGGGGCATTTCCACCTATTCTAAAATTTATTACGTGTTTGTGGTTTATGAGGGACAGTTACATCATATTAGGTGTAATTGTGACCTGATTAAATATATAATGTGTTTGTGTGACTGTATGTGGGATAGTTATAATATTAGGTGTAATTATGACCTGATTATTGTTTTCATTTGGAAATTATACATGTCATAAGGAGATAAGATTGTGTGTCAAGTTGACAAGGGGTGGACTTGTGGTAGCTATTTTTGGTTGTCAACTTGACTACATCTGGAATTAACAAAACAAAACAAAACAAACAAACAAACAAAAAAAAAACCCAAAAGGCTGAGAGTTCAACTCTGAAGGACCCACTTCTAATCCAGATCTTTTGAGATGGGAAGATCCACCTTCTGCTGGCAGCCTATAATGCCACGGAAGAAGGAAGCTTTTGTTCTTTACCTGCTTGTTTTTGCTCTTGCTGGCAAGTTTATTCCTTCATTGGCATTAGAACCTACTTCTTCAGGGTTCTGATGTGTACTGAAGACCAGCTGAGATATCAGCCTCCTGTACTGAACAACTAACTAGTCATGAGCGCACAACTGAAACCTGGCTTTTATGCTGCATTGCACACATTATGTGATTTCTGTAGCTTATTTTACTCTTTGAATCTGTGGAAGTTATCATCTGAGTGCCAAAGAGTCTCTTGCTTTGTTCATCCTGATGTGCATCACACCTGAGGCTTGGGGCCTTTATGTGTTTTGTTTCTTTTGCAGCAGTAAGGATTGAACCCAGGGCATCCTGTATGCTAGGCGGGCTCTCTCCTTCTGCCGTGGACCAGGCTCTAGCTTATGACTCTTTAGCTCTCTTTGATAGATAACCCTTCTGGTCACAGAAAACGTTCAGCCTGTCAGCGTTTTAAGGCTTGTGAAATCTCTCACACAGCTGCCTTTATCTTCTGAAGTTGCACGGCTAATAGTGATGTGCTTAGTTTCTGCTTTGATGAGTGAACAAGTGTCTGAACTTCCCACTGGCTTTGGCTTCTGAGCAGTCACATGGCTGACTTAATTAGGGGAGAAGAAAGCTCCGTAATTCTGCCCTAATGCCCCAGTGGGAATCCGGGAGACCTTTTCTTATGCACATGCTCACCACCTCTGAAATAAAGTGGATAGCTAAGGACACTTGGTCAGGCCATAAGAGAGATTATTAGCCAGGGAAGACACATTTGAACTTGCTGAAAGGGCTGCCATTGTGCCGGGGAAGGTGGGCCTCCGTGGGTCTTTATCCCAGCAGCCTTTCCTTTTTCAAGCTTGCAAAGTATGAATAGCTGTCTTTTACCCACTAATCCCTACAGGAATGTGGCTTCGGTTATGGAGAGGATGCACAGTGTGTGCCCTGCAGGCCGCACAGATTCAAGGAGGACTGGGGGTCCCAGAAGTGCAAGCCATGTGTGGACTGCGCGCTGGTGAATCGCTTTCAGAGGGCCAACTGCTCACACACCAGTGATGCTGTCTGTGGGGACTGCTTGCCCGGGTGAGTTGGGCCATATCTTCTGCTGTTTAATTAAATGTTTCCCAAGGTGTTTCCTATTCCCCCCAGACTTAATTGCACAGGGATAAGAACTTGAAGATGTTTGGGCAGCATCTGGAACTTGTATCTCATTACTTCTACAGCCTCTGAGCTGACTCTGTTCCAGGCACTTGTGACAAAGCAGAAGAGCAGTCACACTTAACAAAGGGATGTGCCTAGAAAATGTAGAGTTCCTGCAAGCTAGTGAACAGAAGCAGCACTTAAACAAATAGACAAAGGGATTGACAGGCAGCCCCCCAAAGAGGAGCCTTCTGAGCTGCAGCTATGGGCAATTCTCTCAGTCCCTGGAATGGGTCAGAGGGGAAAGTAGCAGAGATTCCTGACCATGTGGATCTTGCTTCATATTAGCTTTTTTAATTCGGGCCAGCAGATGCTCAACAGGTAAGAATGCTTGCCACCAAGCCTGCTGATCTGTGTTCGAACCCCAGGACCCTCCTAATGGAAGGAGAACATTAACTCCCAGAAAGTTGTTCTCTTGCATGCATGCCATGCTCTCCCTCCACCCCCGCAAAAAATAAATGTTTGAAAAATACCATCTCACAGTAATTTAGAAAAGAGACAGGGCTAAGGATTTAGCTCAGGGATAATGTTCTTGCTTTGTGTGCAGAGCTCTATGTTCAGTCTATACTCACTCCCCCTCCCCCACCTCTTCTGAGAGGCCCCGGGAGTCCCAGGAGGAGGAGAAAAGAGTAGACTAGGGTAAGGATAGTAGAATGGGGAGAACCTTCCATGAACCCTAGGTAAGTGCACTTCAGGTCACATGTGGGACTTACCAACATTTTAACCTGTCCTGTGACTGTCTTCACTTTCTGGAGGGTGTCTTTGAGGCACAAAAGTGTTTTAGTTTTGAAGAAATACGACACACTGATTTTTTTCCCCATAAGTGTTTAGTTTTACACTGCAATTTTCACAGCCCCTTAGGTTCTGGGTCTCTGTAGGGGGAGCCGTCTGACTCACTGTATTCTCATCAAGAGTCCATGAAGAATTCCTGCCACTCAGTAATTCAAAATGACAATTTAAAATAAGAATAAATGCTTCGAATAGATGCTCACTAATAATACAAGCAAATGGCGAATATGCAGATAAGCTGCTTGCCTATGGGGAGCCACAGGTCCGAACCACACCCACCTATACCCACTAGAGTAAACATAGATGAAAAGACAGACAGTTACACATTTATAAGCTGTGGGGAAATGGGAACCTTCCTATGATTGGTGGGAATGTAAAGTGGGTGACCACATTAGGGAGCAAACTGACATTTCCTTGAGAAGTTAAATGCAGAGATACCATAGACTCAACAGCTCTATGCTTGAGCATATATAGTTAAGAGATTTGAAAAATGTTGTGCATACAAAAATCTGATACACTGATGTTTGTTATTACACACAATAGCTGGGAAGCTGGGACAATCATGCTTTGATTGAGTTGGTCTCCTTCAGAATTCTGGTGTTGCTGTGTGATAGGTTAACCTTAGACCTCAACACTGTAACGAGTCCTGATACCTTCTCTCTCCTGAACTGACTAAGGACACTGGCAGGGTTTCAGAGGTGACAAAGTGTGCTAACATCAATTGTAGAGATAGTTACCCAACTCCATGACTGTAACATCGCCACTGGCATGCAACCCTTTCATTTGGGTGACTTGTATGGTATGTGAATTTTACCTCATCAAATCTGTTATTTAAAAATTGAACTAACAAAAAGTACCATAGTTTCAAAACTCCAGGTAATGAGTGTGAATAGCGCTCCTATGGGGACTGTTCTTTTGCGTTGCTCTGAGACGAGACCTTGCAGTGTAGCTTGGGGTGACCGTGAACTCCCTGTTTTCCTGCCTCACTCCCCATACTGGATGACAGGCATGCACTAGCATGCCCAGCTACTGATAGAATTTTAAACTCATGCAAGCCTAACTAAAGAACATGCCTGGAGCATCTAACATGCCTCTATAGCCCACGGTCCACAATTCTGTGATGGAAACATGGCTGTGTGTGTCTTGTCTCCTCATCTAGGGATTGGGGATAAACTTAGGCCCCAGGGAAGCAAACCTAGGCTAGCACTAGAGAGAATAGCAGGGAGGCAGGACCTAGGGACTTGGCTTTTCAAAATAGCCCTCTCGGCTTATGCCAAAAACCCCATAGGCATTTGAATGATGTTTCACACTTTATTTACATGATTAGTTTTAAAGTACATCCTTTCTAAGGCAACATTCATGTGTGAGCAGGTGATAATTCTACAGCATTTTAAAACTACTCCTCTAGTTTGACTAGCTTTCTGTGGAGAAGGCAAATAGCTGAAACCTACTTTGCAGACAGATAAACTAAGGCAAAATCATACAGCTATCACCCAAGCATCCTGCATCCATTGTCCATCTGTGTGTGGCAGAGTTGAGCCTTGGCTTGACTGTGACTCACTTGGCTCAAGTCAGGGCTCTGTGAAACCGGAGCCGACTGCGTCATAGCTCTGCTAAGCAGAAGAACTCTGGCTGGTGGGAGTGTGAAGATCCACCACAGGGCTTCTTAAATGCCATTTTCAAACAGTGTTCCGTAGGCTAACCAGTCTGGCTTGGACTGAGTTAAGTTAAAACTGTCTCCTCACGACCGCTGTCAGTGAGTTTGGAAACTGAGAGATGCCACTTTTCATCACACAGCCAGTAAACGAAGTCCAGTATGGGTTTCTTTTGTCTTTTTATATTGTCTGTCCGAAAGCCAGGAACAGATTACCATTGAACTTCAGAAGCCAGTTTAACCAGACACTCTGTATAATGAATGTCTGTGTTCCCTTTCATTTTGTTTCACTTAAAATATAATTTCCTACCTCACTTGGGCAAGAAATGCAGCTGCAAATGTTTCTATGTCCCAAACTGTAGTACAAACTAGAGAGATCGAGGTGACTCAGTGATGGAACATGGGCCTAATTAGCATGGGGTGATGGCCATGCAGATTCAAAGACCAGAGTTTAGTTCACAGAGGCCACAGTGAAAAAGCTAACCCTGGTGTGTGCGTGCAATCCTAGCTCAGTGTGGCCTGTGTGATGAATTCCAGGGCAAGGAAAAATGTTGTCTCAAAAAAGAGTGGAAGGAACAACACTGGAGGTTGACCTTTGACCTCAGTGGGGTAAGGGGTAATGCAGCAGGGAAGCTATGCCACTTGTAATGGGAACAAATATAAAGTGGATAAATTAGATCAAATCCCAACTGCATTCAGTGATTGGTCAAACTTCTACTTTGATTTGGCAATGAGAACATGTTAAAAAACTATCTGATACAGTGATTTCCTACCAGATAAGATTTTAATAAAATTACTCATTTAAGAGCACATAAAATTTAAAAAGAGTGAGTTGGAGAACTCACAAAGCTATAATAGTCAAAAGTATGTACTGGCACAAAGATAACCAGGCCAAAGGGATACAAAGGGGAGCCTAGAAACCAGCCCTTGCATGTGTGGAGTTTTGACGCTGGTGCCAAGGGTAGAACTGAGAAAATTACCCACAAAGAAGCAGTGAATCTGGACGATTTATTAGCTTACTCCCTGCACAAAATCCAACCTCAAATGGATTAAAGACCTAAGAATTAGACCTACCGTTACAGAAATACAAGAAGAAAACATGACGCTGGATTTGGAGAAAGATTCTAGATGTGACACCGCCAAAGCATAGGCACCATGTGTGAAGATGACACACCACACTCAGTAGCTCTCGTGCAACGAAGCAGAGCCACCGTATAATCCACGAATCAACCTGCGGAATGAAAGAAAACATCTGTGCGCAATGGGCTGGGGAGATGCCCCAGTTGGTGAAGTCCTTGTCTCTAAGCATGAGGCCTTAAGCTTGAGCCCCAGTGAGAGACCCTTCTCAAAAAACAAACAAACAAACAAGACGGAAGCCACCTGAAGAATGACACTCGAGGTTCACCTCTGGCCTCCTTCACACACATGCACACAAGGGTACAAAAGTTAAAAAAAAAACCAAAAAACTAAAAACTTTTGCTAATTTTAACTTTCTGATAAGGGGTTAATATCCAAATATATAAAAATATGTCTATGACTCAACAACAAATGTTAAATAACCTAGTCTAATAAATGGGTAAAGGACTCAAACAGCATTGTTACAAAGATGATCTGCAATCCAGCAAACAAGCCTGTGAAAACATGTTCACATCACCAGCCTTCAGGGACTTGTCAATCAAACCACACCCATTTGTCACTTCATGCTCAATAAGATGGCTACTACCAAACAAAACAGAACTAAGAAAATAAGGGTGTTGGAGGGAGTCAAAGACTATCTGCCCTACCCTGCTGGGGGATGTGTAGCCACTGGGGAAGCTGAGTAGCTATCTTTAAGATGGAACTATCATAGGACCAGCAATCCGCCTCTGGGTTTAAGAAGTTAAAGCAGATTCCTGAAGCAATGTCTATACAGTCATGTCCATTACCACACTGTTCACAGTCTCCCAAAGGAGGAAGAAGCACAATCATTCACAGACAAATGGATAAGCACCACATACAATGCACCCATATTTCCAGGGAGCAGGACAGAAGGTTGCTTGGCCCTATGAAAGACGTTAGTCTTATCGCATGCCCTAACATGAATGGCATGCTATAGAGTAGATCAATCACAAGCAGATGATGCTGTAGCTGCCATTTAGAGGAAGTGTGTGGAGTCATCACATATACAGAGACAGAAGGAAAAGCAACTAGGGAGCTACTGAGCATAAAGTAGGGGTTAACAGGACCAGTCAGTGCCTTAGCCTGAGAAGCTGAGGATGTCTGGGGTTCTGTTTTAGCACATGTAGGCAGTACTGTTCAACTGCACACCTAAAACTGCTTTGATGGGAAACTTCCTGGTGTGCCTTTTTTTTTTTTTTTTTTTTTTTTTTTTTTGCCAAAACAGGAAAATGCATATAAAATTTTTAAATAAAAGCAATAGGTTCCAAATGTGGTGGCACACACCTTCCATTTCAATACCAAGGAGGCAAAGACGAGAGGGTCTTGATGAGTTTGAGGCCAGGCTGATCTACCTAGTGGGGCTCTGTCTCAAAACAACGGTGAAGGGAGATTTCTTATTTAAAATTACCTTGTTAAATACTGTACTATATAACTGAGTGTGGTGGTGCACTCCTTTAATCTCACCACTTGGAAGGCAGAGGCAGGTGGGTCTCCGAATTCCAGGACAGCCTGGGCTACACAGAGAAACCCTATCTCAAAAAACAAAAATAGATAGACAGATAGATATTGCGATACATGTTAGTTATTTTATACTTCCACCCAGGAAATTACCAAATATGATTTAATTTGATATTGGGAAAGTCTATAATAGTTTTTTTAGTACAGAAAAACTTGTTTAGAAAATAAAATGAAAAGGTAACATCCAGCAGACACTAATGGCATAAAAGTACATGTTCTAACACCACTTAAAAATAGAGATATATCAAGTATGGGAATTGAATGTAGATATTATTTAACATTTTAAAAATAAGAAATTCCCCTTCCGGTAAGACTGTGTTGCTATCTGTGCTTTTCCTAATAACAAAAAATATCTAGTTGACAAAATAATTTATTAAAATAGATCATGTGTTTGAAAACCAGCATTCTTGTGAAGCTGGAGGAGAAGTCCTGCCATATTTGAGTGGCCACTAACTACTGAATGAAGTACTGGCGGGGACAGGGTTGCATGAACACCCTTCACAGGCAGGGCCAGCGGAGCCACCAGCTCTATTAGGCAATCAGTAGAAATGTCCAGAGCTTGGTCCGGAAGTTTTGTGTAGGCAACCAAATCTGTGCAGTGTCCATCGTCTGCTCAGCTTTGGGTGCCTCTGTCTTCACTAAGAGCTGGTTCTAGATGTTGCTGGTGACCGACGATGTGACACTGATCATAGGTGACACCAATAACCAGGACTCTCTCCTTCCTCTTCTAGATTTTACCGGAAGACCAAACTTGTTGGTTTTCAAGACATGGAGTGTGTGCCCTGCGGAGACCCACCCCCTCCCTACGAACCACACTGTGAGTGACATGCCAAGTGGCAGCAGGCCTTTTTTAAAAAACCTGTCTCTACCATGGGACTCCTAGTGAATGCTCTAATCCAGACCCTGGTAGAACAGAAAGTCTCAGTCAACAGAGACATTTGATTTGCATCCCTGGGGGAAACAGACACTTTGCATTGTGCCCTGTTCCTTGGCAGCCTTCCTCCCAGATGCTCAGCTCAGGAGATCTGGCTCCACCGGGCTGTCCAGGTGCTAATCCCCAAATATAACACTCTGACCCTGATCACACAGGGGTGTCTGCCTTTCCGAAGTTCCTTCTGGGGCACCCTTGCCTTTCATAACATGTCCCCTGCACTTCCTGCTCATGTGTTCTTTTGTTTTTCTCACTGCTTTGAGCAGTGAGGAGAGAGGACTCACTGCCCTCATCCGGGCTGGAAGCAATAGTCCAGGAGACGCTTGAGTCTTTGTATTAACATTAGTCTTTTTGACCATTAGTTTTTTTATTTCTTCCCCCTTGGAAACAAGAAGGTTTATTGTGTTCTCAGCCTGCCTGGTGGCTGATCACTGTCTTAATGCTAAGCCAAGCTGGCTAACAAACACTACAGGCAAGGGATGGGGTCAGTCAGTCAGGGGTGAGGCAGGGTCTGCTGTCCCAGCAGGGCTTGCAGCTGGGCTTCAGGACACAGGAAAAGCTATGTTCGGGCAGGAGGGTGGAGGTGCATGTTCCGTCTGCATCTATTGGCACACCCTTGCTGGGATCGTTGCTGGATAACTTTCCAATCCATAGTGTCTGCTCTCTTGCCTCTTTCTGTAACAAAACTTCCTTCCAAACAAATTGCAAATGTCTGCATCACTTGATAAGGTCTGGAGAGGGCTATGGAACCTCTGCAGTGCATATTCTTACTTCCTTTATGAAAATACATTACTTTGTATTCTTCATTTGAAGTGACAGAAAAGCAGAACAAACAAGCATCAACAAAACATCCATAGACTCTAAGAATCTACCATATAGGCGATACCAGTGGATCCTCCTTCTTGCGTATTTACACATGACATGTCCTCATGATGATTAAAACTCAAGGACCCAGTCCTGCTCAACCGTTTGTTTTTATCAAACAAATGATATCAGTACAGCCCACGTTAAAGCTGGAAAATGCTAAAGTTCTCTCCCTCCCCTCCCCACTTAATGTACTGGGTTTGATGTAATCCCAAGGCTTTATGGTTCTAGCTAACTTAGATAACGTGAAAGGGCCTTTGAATACAGAACTCATGCAACTCTCATGCCTTATGAAGCCTTTGGTCATACAGCTTGGAAGAGACGATTATTTAGTTTAACATATAGAGATATACATTTCCCCATGTGTCAAACTTCCTAAAAAGTAAAGAAAAATATTTGTGAAGTCGGAAGCACAGTTGGACTTTCCCATCACAGATGGAGAGAGCCTGGGGTCTTGGTGAGCTTCATCTCTGTCAGAGAAGTTTGCTGTCTTTGGCACCCTCCTTGGGAAGCAGTCCAGAGCTTGACTAATCTCCTCAAAGGAGATCTGGAAGTCTTTGGGGGAAATTATACATGGCGCCTGTGTTTTTATTTCTCCTCCAGGCTTTTCAGTGTATCTACAAAGAACTGCCTCTTTAGCCCCCCTGAGGGGTTCCTGTGCCCTTGGGCATTCTGGCTATGGGAAGTAGGCGTCTTTCAGGCTGCCTCAAGCAGTGTGTTTTTTAGGATGCTTGTGGAAACAGGCTCAGCTGGGGCTTCCAGGCTCAAATAGAGTTGTGGTCCCAAGGACCCTGGGTGCTAGATTCTAGAAGGGTTTCAGCACCCTCCCGTCTCTCCTTCAAAACAGAACAAAACCTGGACTTGAACTGCTATTGGTTTCCAAAGATTATCAGCTCTTTTCCTTTTACATTTGCTTTTGTTTTCTTTAAAAGAATGTTTCCCAGGCACCTGACTTTCAGTTTGCTGAGCGCTACATGTAGAGAGATGAAAGTCTTAGTATCAACTCAAAATGGTGACTCACCTGTAGTCTCAGCACTCAGGAGGCAGAGGCAGGAGGATGGCCTTGAGTTTGAGGCAAGCCTGGAATATAGAGGAATACCTTGTCTAAAGGAACCAACAAAAAGCAAAATCAAAATAAGTCCTAGTATCTTTGTACACACAGGCGTCTGGCTCACCTGTGCAGGATAACAGCTGCATGGTTAGGGGAGACAGCCTTGGACCAAGTGTTTCTGTGACATACTTGACATACTGTGACAAAGCTTATGAATAACATGTAGGAAAAGCCGTATCTGTAGTGGGGAAAGGTACAAGTAGTATACACAGCACAGACACCTACACTGTTGGGACAGGAACCCAAGGCTGTGCATGTACACCCACTTTCCCTCCGGGCTCTGCCTCCAGCCCCTATATCTATCTTTTGAAAACCCACACAAATGGGAAATAGACTGAAAAGAACTCAAAAGGCTGTGTTTTGCTTACTGAGTTTTATGAAGCTCTGACGCTAGAAATGTGTTGTTTGGGGGACTATTGGTGTTTCCCTCTACCCCCCCCCCCAAGCAAAACCAAAAATGTCCAATAAGTCCAAATTTCTTTTTAAAGTTAACTTTGAAATGACATTGATTCATTGTATAAGAAAGCCTTTCATGTTCCCATTAGAAAATAGTCCCTTTTTAACAGTGTGGCTTCTTACACACTGATACGAGGACGCGGGAACTTTTGTGAGTGCTGAACCACGCACAGCGGCTAACACTGCAGGTCGTCGAAAGCTCCTGCTTTTTTTTCTCCCACACGCAGGGATTTATCTGGTGGGTATGGCTTTAGATCCGTGTGTGGCCTGTTATGCAAAGCCCTGGAGAACAAAGCAAGCGTCTAGTTTAAACACACTTAAAACATAGCTCTACTCTGGTAAAAGCCACTTTACATCATTTCTAAACCACTTACTCCAGCCACAGTGGCATTCCAAATAGAACAAATATTACTCAAAAAACAAACAACCCCCCCCCCACAAATTCTGCATTTCTCATCAGACCCAAGGCAGGGTTTTCTTCTCTCACCACACTGTCCCAAACGGGTGCACATTTGATACAGTAAGAACAAAGCCTGCAGTTGGAAATTTTACCTCAAGTGCCTTTGTCAACAATGCCATTGTCAGCCCCATGTTCCAAGGTCAACCAAGCACTCCCACTAATTAATGCTATTAACCACCTGGCAGAGGTGCTATGGGTACCATTCTCTCACAGACTACATTGTTAGGGGGTTCCCAGCATGTATCTGGTAGGAACTGGGAATAGGAAAGGAAAAAAACAAACAAACAAACAAACCGAAAGGCCCCTCAGCTATCAGCGTATCAAAGAGCCAACTGCCCCTCTGTACTGCCCTTTGCTAGCTACCTATATCAAATATAAATGTCTCCAGGCTGTCCTAGGAGGAGCCAGCTCCTGAACTACCATATCCCCTAAATGTACACTCATGCCAGGAGGAGCTAAAGGCAGAAGGCAGGTAAAATTATAGCCTGGACAAGGCAGACCAGCACAGAGATGGAGGGTTCTGCATTGTATCAGGGGCCTGTGGCACCATACTGGACATGAGTTCACTTAGTTATATTCCCAAATTTCTACCTGCTATTATTATTCCTATTGTCCAGGGAGAAACATAGAGTCAAAGAGGAGAATGGACTGCCCAGGTCACATCCCAAGGCAGAGCCACAGCCAGAGGACAAAACTCTGCCAGCCAGTCAAAGCTGGGGTCTACTCTGTACTCCCTGGACAACACATCTTCCAAATTTCTTAAGATTTGCATATAATGATGGTTGTAATGTCAGTGTTAATGGCCAACTGGCAAGCTCAGGGATCACCTAGTCCATAAGCCTCTAGGCACACTTGGGAGGGATTACTTAATTAGATTAACTCCTGGCCATCCCTGTGAAGGATTATCTTGATCTGGATGGGGGGGGGACCCCAGCTAAACACCAGCAGTCACCTACCTATGTTCAAAGTGTGACCAGCTGCCTCAGGCTCCTGACATGTTGTCTTTTCCACCATCATGGACTGTACCCTTGAACTGTGGAACAAAATAAACCCTCCCTTAAATTACTTTTATCAGGGTGTTTTGTCATGGCAATGGGAAAAAGTAACTATGGCAAGAGGGGACAGGCACTTATTTCTTGTGTTTAAATCACTTTGGGGTGGGGCACAGGCTTACCCTGTAGAGAAAGAAATGCCTATGTAGACAGTATCTATTTATTGATTTATTTTGCTGTGCTGACACCTAGCCTTGTGATGTTGGGCAGTGCTGACAATTATTTTGGCTGCAGTCTCACTATGTTGCCCAAGCTAGTCTTGAACTCAAGCAGTTCTCTTGCCTCAGCCTGCTGATTATAGGCATGTGCAAGTGTGATCAAACATATACATATTGATCAGAAAAAAAATGGCACATGCAGATGCAGGAGAATGGCCATAGTGGAAGGTCCTCCACACCACAGCAATGTGCAGATGCAGGAGAGACGCTGGCTCATGGTGCAAGGTCCTCCGTACTTGCTATGTGTATATGTGGGAGCTTTTCTCTGCAGTAATTTTTTTTTTTTTTTTTTTTTTTTTTTGCTGAGTTTTCTACTACTCAGAGGCCATATTTTCTGGGATGCTTACTGGAACTCCTGCATTATGATCCAAAAAACCAGTATGCACTAATGAAGGGCTCGGCTTACTGGGGGTTATGAAGTTGTCTCTGGTCCCTTGACCAAGACTCGCTGGTGTCCAGCCAGATCACTGCTGGAAAGGGGTCTGTTTGTGGAGCCTCACTGTGGTATTGTGTGTGTGGGGGGCAGCTGAATATGGCTGTGTGCTTTCAACAAAGACCTTCAGTTACCCATAGAGGAAGCCGTTAACAGAGATGTCTGAATTTAGCTCTCTCCTGCTAAACAACCTGCAAGATAGGGAAGATGGGGATGCTAAGATCAGAACGTAGTAGAGGCAGCACAGCCCAGGCCTTGGGGAGACAGCTTAGAGCATTAGCCTCCTGTCCTG